GAATTGTTAAGTTTTTCCAGTCCCTGACTGTGAATCAAACTGAAGATTAAATCTTAAATAATAGTAGAAGTAGTAGTAATACATCAGAATAGAAATATGCTATTATTGTGCCGAAATCTGCCTTCCAATTCCCAGAGTGAGGGTTTTTTCCCTCCCATGAAAGACGCTTCTGTTTATTCACCTCATTTTCATGATGGCTTTGAATGTCTTCAGCTCATTTCTTAGAGCTTATTTTATTGTTGTAAGATTTCAGAATATGTCACTCCTGTCTTCCCTCTTCCATTATTTTCATTATCTGCCCTCTGTCTGGTTGTTTCTATTTTTTGATGGAGAGAAGGAAGGAAGGGAGGGAAGGAAGGAAGGATATATCCAAACAAAATTTTGGAAAAGTTTTAACTACCATTTTGCTTTTGAAATAATGACATTCAAAATCTTTTGGAGATTTTGGAGGCCAAAAATATTTTTTTTTAAAAAAAAAATATAGACAACTTCATTAGCAACAAAATCATCCCCACAACTAATGAAGAATAGATAAATAGATGGATGGATAGATATTTGCCATCTCCTGTTTCTCTATTTGTTATGTCTTTAACGCAATGGCTCTGGGGAAATAAGGCCATTATAACACAGAAGCATTCCAAATAATTAGCAAAGCAGGGAGAGAAAAAATCTGTCAAACAAGTTTATTGGGCTGCATATTTCTGACTGCAGACGTTCCACTTGTAAAAAACCATTTGAATTTAAGCAAAAGAGCTTTTGTCAGCCTGCAGCTTTAAAGAGAAATGTTATCGGTCTCACAAGGGAATGATAAACATTCATAGGGAAAATCCCATCCAGGAAGAATGCATTGAATCTAGCCTCTGCTTAAGTGTTACTCTTATACTGTAGACCCATTAAATAAGTAATGGGTCTCAAACAATAATAGCACTTGGAAACTTCATTATTATTAGGTCATTCTTTTGCCAGCAGTTTAGAAAGCCTGTCGTTTATTCTGCTGATAATGCTTTTTCCCCCGATTTAAACCCATGCACTCACCGTACACTTAGAGGAGACTTTACAGAACAAATGCATAATACTACAACGTGAAGAGTCCAGAAAGCTTTAAGCGAATGGCTATATTTAGAAAATGTTTGACTGCTAAGCCTGTCCATTGAAAGAAAGCAATGGACAGAAAATATATTCATTATGGCCAGAATAAGCAAATGTTGTGCGTCCACGTGCTTGCTTAAAAAAAGCATCCTCTCAAAGCAAAACTAAATGATAAGGGGGGTCTGTGTACCCAGAGCAATGACATGTCCTAATGAGCAATAAAAATATAATTTCGGAGATACAAAATAAGTTATTTCAGAGTTCCAGCAAAATTCATTTAAGGATAACTGAGAATACATTAATGAATCAGAATGGGGTTATGCATATCTGAAAAGCCCATATTACAATTAATGCTATATCAGGATCTAGTTTTTTCAGGATTTTTGCCTCTCTGGAAAAGGGGGGTCTATTATTCTCGGGGTGCTTGAATATTTCTATCAAACTTCTCTTCATCTGTGTTTTTGAGCTGATTTTCTGAAGGAAAGAAAGGGTGCTACAATTGCTGTTCCCGATCTTTCCATCACTCCAAAAGTCTCCCTGGTTACCTACATTTTTCCCCATGGCAGGATGTTCTCCATGAAATCTACTTCAAAAGTTTAATTAAAAAGTAAGATGCCAACTGTGGAGTGATGACCGTACAGAGAAAGTGATGACATTTTACACAATCCCATGACTTTAATGAGAATTGGTAGAAAAACATGTAGGTGTTTGTTTGTTTGTCTTGCATTGCATTGGTTACAACCTTTGTGTTCAGTTTCTCCAAACTAGAGAGAGACTCAAAGGCTCCTACTGGTAGTTTTAATTATGGTGGAGAAAGACTGCAAGAGAAGTAGTTTCAAAGTCTTTGTTGACCAACAAGCAAGTCCCTCCTACGGTATGTATGCAGACATGAATCCTACTCATTCATTCCTATATTTATTACAAACACATTTTCAAGCCTTCAGCTGCGATTAGCTACTGCGGTCATAAAAACATCGGAGCCCCCTGATGCTCTGGCATTCTCCAAGAACATAACATTTGTTCTGTAAAGATACCCTAAAGAGCCTGGAATGCTTATCCTGCAACAGAGCATGAATCCCTCAGAATAAGCCTCTGCCCTTTATGTTCATGTCCTTATTTGATGATTCCTTTTCCAACCCGCCTTGTCCACGAGCACTCGCAAACTTGTTAAAAGGAGTTGAGTCATGTTATTTGTAGATGTTCTTTCCAACTAATCTGGAGGTTTCCTGCCATGACCCTCATCATGCATGAAACAAAAGAAGAAGAAACAAAAGAGCCTTGGGTCCACCATCAAAACATCTCAGTTTGCAAGAGCCAGGTCCTTCGTGCAAGTTGAGTTGTTGTTCAGTTGCTAAGTCATGCCGGGGACTCTTCGTGGCCCCATGGACCACATCACACCAGGGCCCTATGTCCTCCACTCTCTCCCAGAGCCTGCTCAAACACATGTTTGCTGCATCAAGGACACTATCTAACCATCTCATCCTCCGCTGTCATCCCCTTCTCTCTTTGCCTTCAATCTTTCCCAGGATGGGGGTCTTTTCCAGTGATTCCTCTCTTCTCATTTGGTGGCTAAATTATCTGAGTTTCAGTATCTGCCCTTCAAAGGAGAGTCAGGGTTTATTTCCTTTAGGATTGGCAATCTTAGCAATCTCCTGAACTTTCTTCTTTCTGTCAAAACTGGTCCACAGACAGCAGGCAGAGACCACGCTAGACATTCATTTGAAGGTGTCACTGTTTCTCCACCAGCCCTTCTAGAACAGGCTTCCTAAAGCTGGTCCCTTCCAGTTTTGAGGGGATTACAGCTCCCGGAATTTCTTGCTGGGAAAGAAGGTGTTGGCATTTGCATTCCTAACATATCAGGATCATGCCAGGTTGAGCACCAGCTGGAAAGCGTGGACCCAGAATGGAGATGGTCCTCTGCATCTTAATCCCAGTTGAGATCAGGTTCCTCGTTCTTCACCTCCCCCCCCAAAAAAATGTGATGAGGAGATGAAAGAATCTGTATTGGGACAGTTGTGTGCATCCATGGAGGGGAGAAAAGGTCATGTCCTCTTCTTTTCAGCAGGTGTGACCACTGACCTTGGATCCCCTACCCTTAACATGAGGTTTAAAGGGGATGGGGGAGATGGGGGAGGTGGGGAGGAAAATGCAGCTGCCAAAAACGAAAGGTCTTTTCTCTGGATGTGTTCTAGCGACTAGGGACTAACCTGCATTCAACTGCTGCATTAGGACGTGACTGTAAGTTTGATTGTGTTGTTTTGGGACTGCACTGAAAAATTGGTTTTCTCTCCCTAAGAGAAAAAAGGGGGGGGAGAGAGGGCAAAGCTGCCCCCAGGGTGTTTTCACCTTCTACTACTCTAGCGAACCCAGTGATTCTCCCCATTGCTTGGGTTTTGCGCATGGGTTTGGGAGAAAAAAACAGAGCTTGCCAGCTCAACCAAGTCGGTTAAATCTGCAGCAGTGGCTGAACTCGTATAACATTCCTGCGTCTCGGCGCGGGGCATAAACTGAGGATCAAGTTAGTCTGGTGCGATTGTGCTTCGAGCATTGAATAAATTCAGCCAATGGCACCATTCAGTAGCCAGCGGAATCGTGCGGGGCGTCCAGAGAAAGGCATTGCCTTTCTCTGTCTTTGCTTGGTCACGGACAGGTGACCACGGTGGAATCTCCCCACTCGCTGAAACTTCCGATTTTATCGGAAAGAAAGACAGAAAAGGGCAATTGATCTGGCGGGGGGGCTGGGAGAGCAGAACGGGAGCGATGGCGCGGAGTTAGAGGTGACACCAGGCGCTTCCAGCTAGTGCGCTAACTTGAGCTGGGGAAGCCGGTGGGCCTGAAGTGGGAAGTTCTGCGGGGATGCCCTGGTCACACCCCAGCCCTTAATGCCACCGCATTTTCCGCTGTACGAGAATCACGAAGGGCAAACGGTAGATGGCCCTGGCACGGACAGTTCCTCCTCTCCCCCCCCCCCGCTCCAGTCAGTGCCATGCTCCCCACACCCAACCCTAAATGTGTTGGACGACCACTCCAAAAGGGAGCGGAGGAGAGACCGCGAGGGCGGCCAAGCTACACCCTTCCACCTTCATCCCTAGCCCAGCTGGCCCTTCATGGGAGCCGTCATCGAAGGCTGGCTTCGCGCTAATTGCGCGCCCAAGAGAGTCAGAAGTACCCAAACGAATTTTCAGGGCTCGGGAAGATGGTTTTGCTGAGCGGCGGACCTCGGTTGCCAAAAGGCCGTGTGAAGGCTGCCGCTCTTCCTGCACCCTCGCCCGCCACCCCCCGACCTTGGGAAGGTGTCGGGAAGCCTAGGGACCGAGGACGGTCGCGGGGCTTGGTGGAAGAAGAAAGGGACGACCGCGGCCAATGTCAATTGCTTTGGACGGCGCGGTGGCTTCAGATGGGCTGGAGAGGCTGGACACTGGACCTTCTGGCTTCAATGGCCCAGGAAAGTGAGCCTCAACCTTTAATGCCAAGGAAAGGGGGGGGGAAGAAGAGTTCTGCAGACGGGGAGGGTCCATTCTTTGCCCAGGATGAAAGAGGCTTTGCGCGGAGCAAGTCAAAAGCTCTGGCGAGGCTGCGGAAGCCAGTGGCTTTGCTGCTGCGGAGGGGAGGACAGAGGCCCGGGAGACCCAGAGACCAACGCCCGCGTCCCGCCTCTGGGTCCTGCGCCTTTAAGAACTCCTCCTCTGAGCAGTGCCCACCGAGGGCAGGGCGGCGCTGTCCCTCCGAGGCGCCTCCAGTCTTCCCCCGAGCAGGGGCTGGGCTGCGGAGCCTTCAGCGGCGGCGGCGACCGGGGGTCCCGTGCGCCTGGAGAGCGCGCTCCCTTCCCGCGCAGGGCAGCTTTGGTGGACTCCAGGCGTCCAGAGGGCGACAAGCCAGGTTCGTTCCCCTTCCAGCCTGCCCTCTCTGCCATGGCTCCCCCGTGGCCCCCCAACGGGACCTGGCCGGGGTCGGCGGAGCAAGCGGGGTCGGGGGGCAACGGCACCAATTGTTCTGGGACGGAAAGCAGCCTCAGCCGGCAGGGGGCGCTCGGAGCGGCCCTCAGCCTGGCCGTGCTGGTGACGGTGGCCGGCAACCTGCTGGTGGTGGTGGCCATCGCGAAGACCCCCCGCCTGCAGACCATGACCAACGTCTTCATCACTTCTCTAGCCTGCGCTGACCTCATCATGGGGCTTTTGGTGGTGCCTCCGGGGGCCACCCTGGTTCTGAGCGGCCACTGGTTGTACGGCACGGTTGTCTGTGAGCTGTGGACCTCGCTGGATGTGCTGTGTGTGACGGCCAGCATCGAGACCCTGTGCGTCATTGCAGTGGACCGATACTTGGCGATCACAGCCCCACTGAAGTATGAGATGCTGATGACCAAGAGCCGAGCACGGGGTGTGGTCTGCCTGGTGTGGGCCGTGGCTGCCTTCATCTCCTTCTTGCCCATCATGAACCACTGGTGGCGGGATGTAGCTGACGAGGAAGCCTTGCGCTGTTACCAGGATCCTCAGTGCTGTGACTTTGTCACCAACAAGCCCTATGCCATCTTGTCTTCTATCATCTCTTTCTACGTGCCTCTGTTGGTCATGATTTTTGTCTATGCCCGGGTCTTTGCCATCGCTACCAGGCAACTTCATGTCATCGAAAAGGACAAGGGCAGGTTCCTTCAGGAGGCGTCCAAAGGCTTCCGCCGTAGGAGGCCCTCCCGTCTCCTGCTTGCCATCAAAGAGCACAAAGCCCTGAAGACTTTGGGCATCATCATTGGTGTCTTCACTCTCTGTTGGCTGCCCTTCTTTGTGGCCAACATCATCAAGGTCTTTGCAAGGTCCTTTGTCCCTGACCCACTTTTCCGCTTCTTCAACTGGCTAGGCTATGTCAACTCAGCTTTCAACCCCATCATCTACTGCCGCAGTCCTGACTTCAGGTGTGCCTTCAGAAAACTCTTGTGTTGCCCTTGGAGATCGGATTCCCAGCTTCATGCTTTCTCCAAGGACCTGCAGAGATGCCTCTGTGCCTTCAGCTCCCGGGAGAGCAAGTCCATTGCTACAGTTTCCAGAGAGGAGGAAGAGGAAGAGGAGGAAGAGGAGGACTTGGGCACTGGTAGCACCAGCAGTGGCTCCAGTAACAGGACCGAGGAAACAAAGCATTTGTATCTGCCCAGCAATGGGCACAGTTGTACACAGCGTCCTCTGGGGGAAACTCAGCTCCAAGGCACCCAGATCACTTTGTGTCCACAACTGGAAGAGTAGGTGTTGGGAATGGTAGTGGGGATGGAAAGAGAGCTGACTGGAGAGTGACTGGCATCTGGGGGACAGGTGAGAGTCCGAAATTGTTTTTGGAAGGGTCTACATTTCTTGCCCTCTAATGTGCTACGAGGAAACTGGAAGGGTTGTGAAGATGTTTCCTATCAGAATCCTTTACATATTTGCTTGAAAGCAAGTCTGAGCTATTCACTCCGAAACTTGCTCTATAATAAGTGTGTTCAGAAGAGGATTTGCAACTACGGTAGTACGTTAATGAGCAATGAATCCTGTGGTAGCTATTTCAGTTCCTGGACTGTGAACAAAGCTGATTACAACTCAGGTGTAAAACATGCCCTGTATGCTGGAGCCAGAATCAGGTGGCAGGTGATAGGACATCCTAGGGCAGGGGTCCTCAAACCTGGCCACTTTAAGACTTGTGGACTTCAACTCCCAGAATTCCCCAGCTGTCCTAGGGCTATCAGAACTGGGCTGCAGTTGCCTACAGTTCCAGGTGCCTACTAGAGGCTGAAAAGAGATACAGAACACCCAACTCTTTGCTGCTATGCAGTGGGGTTTCTGTTTTATTTTTATATCAGAGTTATGACAACACTAGGAAATCCTTCCTTTTGACCATTAACTGTCAGTCCTGATGATGCTGGCTTAGACAGATAATCTAACCCACTATATAGTAGTTTTCGTTACTGTGTCTCTGTTGCGGCTGCAAACTTTGTTTGCTTTCTTTTTCAGTTTTCAGGCACTAAACTGGAGCTCATTCTTTAGTTTCTCCTTCTCTAGGTGAAATATTGAGCAGTTAGGAAGCCCATCTGCAGAAATGGCTGTTCCCTCTTTGCTGGCTTCTGCAGAAAAATATCCCAACAATTCAGAATCCAAATATCCTAACGGTAAAACATAGGGGCACCACATTGCTCTGGCTTGAAGGCTGGGGTGTGGGGAATGTTAGAAGATGCACTTCTCCTTTCTTTGGTGTTACGTTGACATGTGTTTTTTGATTTAAGTGCTGGAATTTGGCTTAACATGCTAAGCACCATATCCAAAAGAAAGATCAATTCAGCTCCACTTTGGTGGTGATCATTTTGGTGGACCATGAGAGCAGAAGGGTAAGGGAGAGTTGGGGGAATAGCCGGAGTGGGTTGAAGGAGGCAGATGGCAGCAGATATGAAGGTTGGCATAAGGAACAGTTGTGCCAAATACAAAGGATCAGGACTATGTGTTAAGTTGCAATTCAGAAGATTTATTGCTCAAGCCTATGCACAATAATCTAGTCAACTAAAGTTCAGTGCTAAATTGGCACCAAATAAGAGTTAATAGAATTTAAGAGGGGTTTGGCTTGGACCATTTGTGGTAATGTAATGACTCAAAGCTGATGATGTGCTTTATTTATAATAATAATAATAATAACATTGGAAGGGACCTTGGAGGTCATCTAGTCCAACCCCCTGCTCAGGCAGGAAACCCTACACCATTTCAGACAAATGGCTGTCCAGTCTCTTCTTAAAAACTTCCAGTGTTGGAGCATTCACCGCTTCTGGAGGCAGGTTGTTCCACTGGTTAATCGTTCTGTCAGGAATTTTCTAGGTTGCTTCTCTCCTTGATTAGTTTCCATCCGTTGCTTCTTGTCCTGCCTTCAGGCGCCTTGGAGAGTAGCTTGACTCCCTCTTCTTTGAGGCAGCCCCTGAGATTGGAACACTGCTATCATGTCCCCCCTCGTCCTTCTCTTCATTAGACTAGACAGACCCAATTCCAGCAACCATTCACTTCCCCCCTGCTAATTTGGGTGAATAGCCTTTCCCAGAGACAGGGACACACAGCTTGTGAAATTCCCAGCAACCCAACAGCTTTGGAGGTTGGGGAAGGCTGGTTCTTGATCGAGTGTCCCACAGGGATGATTGGGATCTGTGTCTTTCTGGAAGGAAAAATAGCTTGCCCATCTTTTCAGATAACTAGTTGTGCTGTTCCTTCACTCCACTTTTGGGAGATGGAGAAGTGACCTACCACAGCTGTCGGCTTCTTTTCCATCTTCCTTCACTGCCAAACCAGATTGGGAAGTAGAAAATCCAAGTTTTTCTGGCAACTTCTGTTCACAGCAAGTCTGTCTGCTGCTACGGTGTTTCTCAAAGGCAGCTGCCGCTTAGCCCAGCCTGGTAGCCAACGGGCTCCTTGCATTTTGCCCCCTTTTACTGGATGGGCAAAAGTTGCTCATTGAGTGGAAGACAAAATGTGTGTCTGTCTGCTTTTATTTTATGTGCAGAAGAAGAAGTTGCCTTTAACCGTTGCAGTCTATGTGTTCTCATATTTGGTGTTCTAGCCAGCTACGTGCTGTCTTTCAGGATACTCTAATCCCTTCTAGTTTTCCTTTGATTTCTTCTGATTTGTTGTCCCTAGCATTTCAATTAGCGTCCTACTATCGTTGCTTCCCCCTTTACCTGCTTGATAAATTTACAGCCAGCGACCCACTACAACAGTCCAGAAGAAGAAGTTGCTTACAGAAAGAAAGTAGTGATGAGATTCTATCAACCCTCTATAAAAATGGAATAAAAATAAAGAGAAAAAAAATGTAGAAGGTTGGCACTCTTCACAGCAAACCTGGAATCTACTCACTGCGGTTGCGATTGAGCAAAACTTTGCTATAATCCTGGAAATTTCAGCAGAGACGTCAGCAAGTAAGAAAGAGATTTTAGTTTCAAACCTGGCCGCACCGTGAAGTAAAATATGATTTACCGATTTCAGTTGTGGAGTTGGAATAAACGCAAACATGTCCTGCGTGATGGATGTTTTGTGTAAGCCTTATTATGATCTTAAGCCAGCCTTTATACATAAAATGCATAAAAGAGATGTTATTATACCTCTCCTTGATCAGTACTGACATTGCTATTAAACATTGTCAACCCAGACTGCAGTTTTTCAGAGGATCTTCGTTGACTTTAATATAACCTTTAAAGATTTGTGCTTCCCGCCCCCCCCCCCAAACTTTGGTGCTCTACATATTTATTTATGTGCAGTTTTTGGCTACTGTTTTGGCTAGTTAAGGATCTACCTTTGTCTAAAAGGTCTGGAAAGAGTAGGACAAGTACAATGAAAAGGTCTGCACCAGAGGCAGCCTAATTCTTAATTAAATGATTCCGAAGCCAAATATGTAACATTTCAAACTAATTCCTGGAGGCATCCAGTTAGCTAAAACAACACCCAGGATAAAATGGATTTTCAAATGAACCTTTTTTAAAAAAAATTGGTTTGCATCATAAGAATTTATACTGCCCATATTGACTAGATTTGCACATTACTGTACATTAGATTGTGGTTTACTGAACCATGGTTTGTCTGATAAGTCATGGTTTGTTGTGGCTGAATTCAAACATGCTAAACTAAAGCCAAAAGCTTAATGTGATCTTAACACGTTTTTCTTCCTTGGCTTTTCCTGCTCAAAGACTAAAAGTAAAATCCCCAAAAGCAGAACAGGCTGAGCTAGGTGGAGGAGTGTGAACTGGGATAGATGTTTTTTCCTATGTTCTTCAGCTGGAGAATCCCATCATCCCCATCCAGGAGAGATCTGCCTGACCTAATGCAGTACAAATCTGCTCCATGTTCTGCATCTGAAGGCAGCTTTCTAACAACCCTTCATCCTCTCTCTTCCTCACTAAGCAAAATTTGCCCTTTCCAGCATTTTTTTTTCATTTGGTTTGGGTTCCAGGATGGATGTTTATAAAGGGAATTCAAGCCTGCACAAGTTATATCAGTTTTGCATTTCCTTCTGTACATCTCTGCTCTATTCAAGGTCAGTGGTGGATTTTATTAAAAATCATCCATTTCCCCAGTTCAGATTTTATTAAAACTATAATGGCAGCAAGGTGAGTTATGTGTAGCATTTCATTTCATGCAGCAATTGCCATCGAGTGACTATTTCTAGAAAATGTGACCGATCCAATAAACCAGGGGTAGTCAACCTTGGCTCTTTTATGACTCTCCACGAGTCATAAAAGAGCCAAGGTTGACTACCCCTGCAATAAACCATGGTTAACAAAACTCACATAGCATGGGGTATGCGTTCTGTCTACAAAGTGGTGTCTTCTTCCAGGTCTGTCCGTTTAGTCCTTCTTGTATGTCACTTCATTGCAAGATTTTCTTGAGGGTTCAGATTGAAGGGAATGTATCAAAATTAAGGAACTGGGCAGGCAAAAAAAGAGTCTCTACTAATTCTGCAAGTTAATCACCACCGTCCAAGATTAGATGTGTCCAAGTGATACAAAGATTCAGAGTTCTCTTAGGAGTAAACTATAAATGTCATGCAGGTGACTTGAGTGTAGATTTACTTGATCGATAGTGCTGTTTCGCCACAAGCTTAAGCATCTTACACGAGGATCTCCTTCCATTTTTCATCCACACAACAGGAAGGCTGGGAAGAAAGGTGAGTTGAGAGTGCCTAGCTCAAAACCAGCCAGTGAATGTTCATGGCTGAGTGAAGATTTAAATCCAGGTCTCCTTCATCCTATTCCAATACCTAAATTTCTGCATTTCACTGGTCCTGACAAATATAGGAACAGTAGGCTCTCTGCTCTTTTGAATATATTTGTGTATTTGCTAAATTCCTCCCACCTGTTGATTTTTTTTTCATGCCAAACTTCACCATTTGGGAGTTTCTAATCTCACTGTACTTTAGTCCAATATATAATATATGAATCTTGCCAATGTAACTCAGAATGATGGGTGAATCAGAGTGCCATTATTGGTTTAAGCTTGGTTTCTTTAGCCCCCCAAAAGATTTTAATGCTGACTGTTGAATTATTCACACAGTGGCCATGTTATTTTAATGTTACAGTTTGTTTTAAATTGTGTAATCTGTTTTCCTAATCTTCTTCTGGCCTAGTCTACCAAATAACAGATGTGATCCGAAGCCTCTTTATGGGAAAGTCAAACCAAAGTTGGAATGAAATTGCCTATCTTTCTCTGAAAAGAGCTTTCTTTTACAGTACTGTATTCCATGAAAATGTGTGTGGAATTCTCAAAGTATTTTCTTTAGATT